GGGGGGTTATTATTGCTGCTCTCCCTGCTCATTCATGACAGGCTGCATGGATGGGCAGGGAGGTTTTTGCCCAGAACAGAACCATACCGCCAAACCAAACTTTATGCTAAGTATCTATCATTTTGACGATAGTGGTCCTGACAGAAAGTGATGGTTTTTGTGACCGTTGCATCATCAATGCACTTGGTGATGTAGGCAGTGACAGTCTCTGAGTACTCCTGGAGGTCTGTGGTGTTATTGTATGTGGCAGCCTGCTTAAACATATTCCAGTCAGTGGTGTTAAAACAGTCTTGAAGAGCCTCTGACGACCCTTCCGGCCACACTTTCATCTGTTTGTGAACTGGTTTGGCAACTTTAACGAGCGGTCTGTATGCAGGCATTAGCATGACAGTGATGTGGTCTGAGGTGCCAAGATGGGGGAGGGGTAGGGCCTTGTAAGCTCCTCTCTGGGTGGTGTAAACAAAGTCTAGAGTGTTGTTTCCCCGTGTTGGAAAGTCTATGTGTTGGTATATCTTTGGGAACACACTCTTTAGGTCTGCATGATTGAAATCACCAGCCAAGATGAGAAAAGCATCTGATGTGCTGGTACAGTTCATTCAGTGCCTCACTCCTGTTGTTGTTGTTGGAGCTGGGAGGGATGTATTCAGCAACGAGCAGTATGGCTGTATATTCCCTTGGTAGATAGAACGGCCGGCACTTAATAATCAAACTCCACCAAGGGTGAGCAGTGTTTGTAGACCGCAACAGCATTGCAGCACAAGGCATCATTGATGTAAACACAAAGCCTGCCGCCACGGGTCTTACCTCCCTCGACGAGAACTCTGTCCGCTCTATAGCATGTTAGCTGATCGAGCTGAATAGCGGAGTCTGGAACGCTGTTGCTGAGCCATGTTTCCATGAACACAAAAACACAACAGGCTCTTACAGTTCATAGTAGTCGGATGAAATCCAGTTTATTATCCAAAGTGCGTACGTTAGCCAGTACGATGGTGGAAATAGCTGGCTTGTGTGGGTTAGCCGCTAGCCTAGCACGGATACCTCCGTGCTTACCCTTCTTCTGCTTCCTCTCGCACCGCTTGTGACGCCTCCACTATGGGCGAGGTGCAGCAGTGGGGGTCGGTGATGGTGTAGGCCTCCGGAGCAGACCGAGGTCCTGCAGCTCTTCGGCTTGCGCGGAGTTTAGCTCTAAAAATGTGGTACTACCGACATCGAGCAGAAACTCATGACTGTATGCGCGCTTAGAGACAGATAGACACGACAAATACGTACAAAAACACTGCGACTCACAAGACAATGTAGACCGCAACAGCATTGCAGCACAAGGCATCATTGATGTAAAAACAAAGCCTGCCGCCACGGGTCTTACCTCCCTCGACGAGAACTCTGTCCGCTCTATAGCATGTTAGCTGATCGAGCTGAATAGCGGAGTCTGGAACGCTGTTGCTGAGCCATGTTTCCATGAACACAAAAACACAACAGGCTCTTACAGTTCATAGTAGTCGGATGAAATCCAGTTTATTATCCAAAGTGCGTACGTTAGCCAGTACGATGGTGGAAATAGCTGGCTTGTGTGGGTTAGCCGCTAGCCTAGCACGGATACCTCCGTGCTTACCCTTCTTCTGCTTCCTCTCGCACCGCTTGTGACGCCTCCACTATGGGCGAGGTGCAGCAGTGGGGGTCGGTGATGGTGTAGGCCTCCGGAGCAGACCGAGGTCCTGCAGCTCTTCGGCTTGCGCGGAGTTTAGCTCTAAAAATGTGGTACTACCGACATCGAGCAGAAACTCATGACTGTATGCGCGCTTAGAGACAGATAGACACGACAAATACGTACAAAAACACTGCGACTCACAAGACAAAAAACACGAAAACACCATTCTGTCGGGAGAGAGAGAAGCCGCAGCATTTGCACGTACCGCCAGCTTGGGAAAGATCATACATCAACATACACAGACACACTGCTGTGAGCATGTAGCCATGTAGCTGTTGCACAAATACCATACATGAAATTACCCATAGTCAATCTAGACAGGTGGAGCTGGGGGAGTTGGAGGTTTTCAGAGGAACTCTATTTCTGATATATGCCACTTTATATTTGACAATTGCGAGCCTTGTTATGACTTTTTATCTCACAGAGGGACTTTACATCTCACAAACACACTGTCAGAAAAAAATTGCAAAATTGTTCATTTAGGGATGCAACATCTTGTCACTGGGGCAGTACCTTTAAGGGGACATCTTTTTACCTTACCTACCCATAAAAATTGCTCTGATGTAATTAGCCAGTGGATGATTTAACCAGCATTATGCCTTCTTAGTAGCTAGTGCCTCTTTAGAGCTTGAATTTTTATTTCATTCATTCAGAGCAGACATGGATACCAAACATACAGCTTTCTTACCTATTGTTATGTCTCCACAGATTGTCTTCCGCAAGATTGTCGATGTGAAGAAGGAAGAAGAGGAGAGGAGACACCAGAAAAACGAGGTGACGTTGTCAATCCCCGTAGACCATCCTGTCCGCAAGCTCTTCCAAAAGTTCAAGCAACAGAAGGAGATGCGTACACAAGGTTCATCCCAGCATGACCTCGAGAGGAACCAGTTTCAGGTGGAACACCACCTCCATCCACTGTCCCACCAGATTCATCAGCAGCAATATCAGCCCCAGTACCAGACCCACCATCCTCTTCAACATCAGCACGTGGACCCCATGCAAAACGGGGCCCCTGGCTCGAGAAATGGCAACAGTGGGTCTAGCGTTGTGACCGTCTCGCAGATAACCCCAATCCAGAGCACCCTAGCCTATGTTCAGACTGAGGAACCGAACAGGAGTGAAAGCCATGAGGCAATGGAGCTCAAGCCCAGCTTTGGCATAGAGGGCTCAAATTGTCTAAAGGTAACAAGTCCGGTTAGACCAAGAGGAGGAACAGGAAGAGGCTGGATGCGTTTTCATAACATTGCATCAGGATCATCTCCTATGCTTCAGCTGGAACTAGAGAAGCAGCCACAGCAGAAGGAAGAGGAATGGGGGGATGTATCCCAGGCACTAAATGTGATCTCCCAGGATGGGAAGAGCCAGGAAGCAGAGGGTGGGCAGTCTAACGAAAGGGATCCCAGTGGAAACGGTAATAATAGTGATGAGACTGATGAGAATAATGCTCTACACAAGACTGATTCTTGCGACAGCGGAATCACAAAAAGTGACTTGCGTTTTGACTGGGTTGGTGATTCACGGAGCCCATACGAGAGATGCTCAATGGAAAGGAGCCTGGACGAACAGCCCAGCCCTGGAGTGGCCCTTCGGGGGATTCACTTTCAGCCTGTCCCTGAACAGACTGTGCTTCAAAACAGTCTGTACGAGGCAAAGCTGGAACTAAAAGGTGACATCCAGACATTAAATAGTCGGCTAGCAGCTCTAGAGGACCAGATGGGGGAGATTCTGAGACTTCTCTCCGAGAAGAGGAAACCTTCTCCACCTCCTCAGGCCTCCTCGCCAAAAACCACACTTCAGTGCCAGGACATCTTTGCCGTTTCTCAGCCTGTCACTCCAGAAATGGAGGGGGACAATGGACCCCTTTGAATTTGGATAAATATATTTAGATATTGATATGCTGTTTTTATCACTTCCCTTCCTCACACTCAGGAAGAAAAGGTAAATACTGATGATTAGAGGAAGGATCTTTGCTGTTGTAAATATATACTTGCATGTCCAGCTGGAATCTGGCCTGCCAATGAAATCTTCTCTATGGATAGTAGGTGCTTGTACACGTACGGAGTCGGCTGCATGCAGAGATGGCTTTATTCTGACCTTGTACATGGGATCTTCTAAACAGGTGATATTTCAGGGCATTTTCTCTTTGAGCGACAGCTTGATGCCCCAGACGTGGGATCTTGGGTTGCTGTAAGGCAGAATCAGGCTTGGTTTAATAACGCCATCGGTCATTCTTCATAGTGAAATGGCTATTAATAGCTACAGTCATTTGAATGGGATAGTTACTCAAAAAATTTAAATTCTGTCATAATTTACTAATGTCATTCCAAATCCATATGACTTACTTTCCTCTGTAGAGCACACAAGAAGATATACTGATAAATGTATTACCTGTTTTTGTCCATACAGTGATATACAGTGGGATCCAACATAGTATTAGACCCTATAAATTTCATTGTATGGGCAAAAAACCACCAAGACTTTTTCAAGATTTTGTGTTTTACAGGTTTGAAACGACATGAGGCTAACTAAAAGAACTTTAATTTTTAGGTGAACTATCCCTTTAACACAGTTTGCTCAAATATTACTTCCCCCTCCAGTATGCAGTTCTCCTTTATGAGCATAATGATTGGAAGTTTGCCTAGATTATTTCTTGGATGTGATTAAGGAGATAATCCAATAACTAAACTAATTTTCATATTCAAAACCCATTGTATTACCAACACTGTTTCAAATTCCATTATCAGTATCGTCTTTTCTGTATTTATTTTGCAGAACGTTATGATAGATAAGAGAGAAATGACTTAGCCCAATTTTTGAGGGTCTGTTTTACATGTTTTAGAGAGATGTATCTGCATGCTGGATGGATTTAGCTCTGGCATGGTAGGACTAGGGACTAATTGTTTTTCCCTTATCAGTTATGCAAACATACAAAGTGCAAGTCAAAGCGTGAACACATTCAGGTCATTTTGAAATTATACAAGCATGCACTGAATTCTTTGCATGACATCAACATTGTGTGTTACATATGAAAGGTCATGGATTCCTATTATTTTTTCCCAAGAGAAATTCTCAAAGTATACTACCGACATTTAATTTAATTCCAGATGCATATTTCAAAAACCTTTATATTTTAATCCAGCACCCCAACTAAAGCTACATTAAACTGCCTAATAAGGCATTGATTTTGAATGAACCTTTCAGTTGGTCATTTGAAAGTGCTGTGGGGAACTTTCTAAATATTATATTATTATATCCACAGGCGGTGACTCACTGCTTATCAGCATACTCATGGGTGCTTTAGATGGTTTATAGCGTAATGACTAATGCCCCTTCACCTCTTATTTCCCATCAGTTCTATTGTATGTTATTAGTCCATTCTGGTGATGTTCATACCAAACACAGGGAATTGAATGTTGAATTGTGAATGGAGCTCAGAAGAGAGACTATTATGATTAATACAACAACAACAACAACAACAACAACAGGAGTGTGGTTGTTTCAGTTGTCCTGTTATTGCATATAGATCCTAACAAGCAACAGTACTTCAAAGCAATAGCCTTTTATAATATATCCCTCCACTTATTCCATAATTTGGTTCCCTCTTTGATAAACACATGCTAATCACTCTAAGTGCTCAGATAATAATATTAGTTCACTACTAATTGTTAGGTTTAATCATTGTTTCAGAGTTTATGATGTTCATTGGGACCAAAGACATTAGTTCTTTTGTACTAATCGCATTATATCTGTGTCCTGCTCAAATTCTCAAACCCATTATTAGCTGTTACCAGTGGATGGGGTTTTCTGTTTTGCTACTTGAGCAAAATAAACATAAGCTTACAGAATTTACAGAAATATGGGCATAATACCCTATGATTTCATATTGAGATTTTTGTAAACGAAATAGTTCACTAAAAAAATGAAAATTCTGTCATCATTTACTCACCATGTCATTTCAAACCTTAATCTTTCTTCAATGTAAGACAAAATGAGAAAGGTTGATGTTGTACTGGCCAATTGTTTTATACTTTGTTGTGTGTTTTATGCTATTTTGTAACTTGACAGTTTGGATTGCCATTAACTGCAATTATATGGCAAAGAGCGGCCAGTACGTTCTTTAACATATTACCTTTTGTGTGAAGTCATATAGGTTTAATGTACAAGTTTAAAATGAGAGTAAATAAATGATGACCTAATTTTCATCTTTGGCTGAACTATCCCTTTCAAGCTGACATAACATTTTTAAATCATGAATATAATAACAGTAATAATATATTTTATAACACACTTGGAGAATCGTAAAAAATAAAAACACTCTCGATTATGTATCTTTTTTTTCATTCACTGATTTCAGTGTCCTGTGCTCCTTCATTCTGTTTGAGTTATTTTTCCTGTCATTCAGCCCAGTGGAGAGGAGCACAGACAGTGAAAGGATTATTCTTTGAGTCTCCCATGAAATTGAAGAGATGGATATAATAGATGCTAAAAGCTGTAATACTGTGGCAGATGACATGAGTCTCTGTAATGGAATGGAGCTGACTCGCTGCGTGGACCCCAGGGTGCCTGTTTCGAGGATTACACACAGTTTTCAGAGAGCTATGAGGGTATTCAGCTCCACTGGATATTTAAACTTTTCAGAGTGGGAGGGTTTGAGATGACGTGCCTGATCCTTACACATGCTGGAGCCAACGGTGAGCACCATGGGCCCAGTGAGGCATTGGTCTCTGGCATCTGACTGCATGCTGCATTTTTGAACTGAATAAAACTTAATGCCAATGAGAATGATATTTGCCTGCAAAAGCAGCGTTTTGCTGCGACTTTTTATGCACACATACACAAAAGGGCAGAGGCCTGGGCACTAAATCACTAAAAACACATCACACGCCAATACAGAACATTTCTACTGTCTATCAATATATGCTGGCCATTGCACCACAATCAGCAAATACAGTAACTGCCATTAAATTGTGATTTATTATATCTCCAGTCTCTATAAAAATGGGGGAAAAAAAGATAAAACCAAAATGTGGGATGTTAAAATCAAACAGCACCCGTAATGAATTAAAGGAATTTAAATAAAATTAATTTAATGCAATATTTGATCTATGATAGTTTATTTAATAAAACAAATATAGATTGTCTGTCAGCAAATATTAGCTACTGTGCCTTTGAAAAGGATCCATACTGTTGAACATTTTCTTGTGTTGTTTTACATTAAACCTCACACAGGATGTATTTTGGCTTCTTTGACACTAATCTTTTTGTTAAATTACTATTGGTCAAAACTTCTTACAGTTAGTTATTAAACAAGTATTGTTTGGCACCAATTTTGCCCTACTATCTATCTATCTATCTATCTATCTATCTATCTATCTATCTATCTATC